TCTTCTGAGACCCTAGACTCAGACAATTCTAGCAAGTTTCTTGAATGACCTGGAAGAGGTGCCATTTTGTTTTCTGGCTGTGAGAGGTCTTGATCCTTCTGGCCATCACAGTTGGGAGACAAGCTCTGATTCAGGCTTAAAATTTGTGCTGTGTTTGCTGCTCCATGGGACAACACAGCCTCAAGTTCTTTCACCCTTGCTGCCAGTGTTTGGTTTTCTGTCTGCAGAGCTTCCACACGTTTTACTAGGTGCAGATTCTCCTCAGTGCAATGCTTTACCCTACAATAACACAAATATATTTGGTAAAAGTCGCAGAAATGGAAAGCAACAATGCCCAAGAGAATTTACCACACAAGCTTCATCACCTTGGTCTCCCATACTGATTATGTGAGAAAATGCTACAGCCCGTAAGACATGAATAAACTTATAGAAATCATGAATTAAACTTAAAATTGCAACTGTAAGAAATCATAGTTCTTCAGTATACTTCAAATACACCTGACTATGAAAATTGTTTTTTTTTGTCACCGTGCAACAGGAAAGTGAACTCACTCACTCACTGAGTGCGCCCTTCTTGAGAAGCTGCCAATTGTGCAGCCATGCAAGAACTTCCCAGCATTTTATGCAACCCAAAGTTCATTACCATGTTCACAAGAGCCCTCCACTGTCCCTATACTGAGCCAGATCAATCCAATCCATACCATCCCACCATATCTATATAAGGTACACTTTAATACTTCCACCCACCTATGTCTTGGCCTTCCCAGTAGTCTCCTTCCTTCTGGCTTTCCCACAAACATCCTACATGGATTCCTCCTCACCCCCATTCAAGCAACATCCCCTGCCCATCTCATCCTCCTTGACTTGATCATTCTATTTATACTTGGAGAAGAGTACAAGTTATGAAGCCAGGAAAGTAAACTAGTTAAAAAAAAAAAAAGTTTATGCCACTGATATTCAACAGAATTTCCATACAAAAGTTTCCACCTGTCTTGCTATACATGAAGAACATTACAAATATGTGACATTTTTCACAGCAATGAGCACAAAACTACAGTCTTCTGGGACGTAATGCTGTACAGCCTCACAGATAATTACCCTGAATATGGAGGCAGCAGATTCCTCCAAAGTGGTAACTGTCTACTTAGTTTTCTGTGTGTTCACTTCTAGACCAACCTGTATGCATATAGGATATTGGTGGGAAAGCCAGAAGGAAAGAGACCACACGGAAGACCAAGGCGTAGGTGGGTGGACAATATTAGAATGGATCTTAGAGAGATAGGATGGGATGGTATGTATTGGATAGATCTGGCTCAGGATAGGGACCAGTGGAGGGCTCTTGTGAACACGGCGATGATCTTTGGGTTCCATAAAAAGCTGCGAAATTCTTGAGTAACTGCAGAATTGGCAGCTCCTCAAGAAGGGCTCAGCTCCATGAGTGAGTGAGTAAGTAAGTAAGTAAGTAAGTAAGTGGTAACTGTCTATGGGTCTACAGGGCATCATATCCCATAAGATAGTC